TCCACAAGTCTTGTTCCCCTCTATTAAGTTGAAAGAACAGGAGTACTTGTGGCACCTTAGTCTCTAAGGTGCCACAAGTACTCCTGTTCTTTTTGCGGATACAGACTAACACGGCTGCTACTCTGAAATCTATTAAGTTGGTTTGACATTTGTTCTTGACAAATCCAAGTTGGCATACAGATTTTGTACACAGTATAACTATCTCAGTTAGGGGTGTGTATTTTTTTTTTTTTTTTAATCAGAATAGTTTTACCAGTACAACCCCTAGTGTGGAAACAATTATATCAGTATTGAAGTGCTTATACCAGTATAGCTTGTTCCCCGTAAGCATTCAATACTGGTATCATTGCATCCACACTGGGAGGCTGGGCGGGGAGGGACAACCTTAACTATACTGTTTTTTGTCAGTAGACAAGGCCTTAGAAGACAGTAGGGCCCACAGCCTGAGTGAGAGAGTGGCTTCCCCCTCTGTTGTAAATTTAACCCTACAAATTATTAGTAGTCAAATCTACTTTTGCTTGAACGCCCTGTTGTTTCAAAACATGTTTTCATTGTCACCTCTTCATCCGCAACCAGCTGATCACATTTGTCATGTTTTGTGTCTGACCCCCTATACCAGAAACTGAGTCAGTTGCCAACTACTTGAGGCTCACTGGCATTTCTGACAGGAAAGACTAGACACATTTCCTGCCTGCGCAAATTGCAGCCATTTAAGGGCAGAATATGGAGAGAGAATTAAATGAGGGCAAAGAAATAGGAATCCTCATTTGAGTAAGCAGAGCCTCGTAAGAATACATGGTTATGGGGGATATTCCCTTGTGTTTCACAGAATGCTGTTACAATTAAATGTTCTACAAAGCACGAAATCTTTTACAAAGCTATATTTGGCTGAGCTGCCATAAAAGAGCAGAGAAATAACACAAAGCACGCAAGGGGTGCTGCGTGTCCTTAGTGCCAGGGAAAAACCTGTACCTGACATTGACGTACGGCTTTGTATTCTAAAAGGTACAATAGCATTTTGCAAATTGTGAACC